TATATATATATATATCTATTTATATATATATATATATATATATATATATATATATATATATATATATATAATAAGATGGATAAGTTTAAATACCAACATAATGGATTTGTTTAATGATTTCTAAATTGATTCATGAAGAGATTTTTCTTGTCTTGATTAACAAAATCAGCAATATAAATTACTCTAAACATTCAAAGTTAATATAATACACAATTCCCATTTAAATCTGACTTGAAAATTGTTGAAATTAAAAGACTATCAAAACTGCATGGCTCAGAAGTTGCAGCCTAGGGTCTGTAAGAGTGTCAGTCTTGAGAGTGCTATATGATCTAGTAGATGGGGATGTATATGCTCACTTTTGTATATCCCCATCCCTTCCTTACAGCCCAAAGCTCTTTTGCCACCCGAACGCTTCGTACCGCCCTTACATGGACATGGCAACTGATGTACACGTTCACTTCCATCTATTTCATTTCCTACCTAGTCTGTTCATAGGCCTCTCCCTCCTCTCTCTCTTTCTCTATCTCTCACTCTCTCCTCCTCTTTCTCCCCCCACCCCAATGATACACTATGTAAAGTCATTTAAGAATTCCTATTTAAAAAAAAAAGAAAATATGAAGCTGTAAATACTTTATTGCAAAGTTATCTTTAAAACAAGGAAAAGAAAAATGTACAGTTCCTTTTGTAGAGAAAAGGATTTATTATCAAATGAGCAGAATGGTGAAGTTATTTTTCATGTCATGGTGTGAATGTATGTGTCGTTGCCTCCCTGTTTCATTCTGTCTTAGAGAAAAATAACTATATATTAGACCTGAGGATAAATTAATTGCCTAACTACATCTTTAGAGATTAACCATACTTATCCCCAAGCATTCTTTCACCACTTTCTTTTGTAAATTTTTTTTTTCCTCCTGCCAAAAACATGCGGGCAATTTGTTGATGTAAGTCACAGAACCGATGGTATGCTTTTACCTTTTGATGATTTATTTCATAGAATTATTATTATTTTTATCTGACTTTTGTTTCCTTTCTCTCTTTTCTTTGTACTTACTACTGTTTTTGACTCACTGTGCATTTGGTTTGAGAATGTTTCTAATGCTTTGCTCTAACCATTAACCAGCTGCATTGCTTTTCTCCCCCCTTCCCCCTCTCCTCAGTTTGTTTATTTATATATTTGTGTATTTGATTTATTTATTTAGACTTGTGTTGAGACCTGTGTCGCCTTGTAGTGACCTATGTTTGTTATCAGCAAAGCCACCTTGGCGTAAGTTGGAGCAGAATCAATCAACATCTGGATGTATGCATTGAAACGTTAATTGGGGGTTTGGGGGGGGGGGGGTTGTTAATATGCAATTAAAAATACAAAACTAAATTCGAAAAGTACTAAATTGTGTGTATCCTGTTAAAACTGTTCATTTAAAAGCTGGGTCTTTAAGGCTGATTTATACTTCTGCGTCAAGCGCTTGCGTATGTTCCGGTGTAGCCTTCGCGTGGACGCATAGCCCTCACCGTGGCTGACGCGCATCTCTCAAAAAAAATTAACTGCACGTCACAAGCTTTGTGATTGGTCAGCATGGTACCATTGACGAGAGTGGGTGGTGCTGAGAGTGGCGAGCCCGATGGAGCGAGTGTTTACAAGTGTCGAATTCGGTGAAGGAGCTCCAGATTGAAACTTTTGTTTTCCATTTACCTTTATTATTAAAGTTGTTGCCAGTTCCAACAACTGTTCCAACTGTTGGTTCCCACCCAACAGCCATGAAGAAACTCAACATAGAGGAACATAAAAACCAACTGCCAGCTAGTGTTTCGGAAGTGTTATTGCAGAGCAGCACAAATAATAACACAAATAATATTAATTTCTTACAAATACATAGAGCTTTCCCGAGCAATCAAAGCGCTTTACACAAGGGGGGTTGGGTGGGGGGGATCTCCTCATCCACCATCAGTGTGCAGCATCCACCTGGATGACATGACGGCAGCCATTTTGAGCCAGACCGCACATCACACGCCAGCTGATTGGTGGAGAGGAGACAGAGTGATGAAGCCAATTTTGAGATGGTGGTGGTGGGGGGGGGGGGTTAAGGAGGCCATGATGGACAGAGGCAAGTGGGCAAATTTGACCAGGATGCCGGGGTTAAACCCCTACTCTTTTTTGAAGGACATTCTGGGATTTTTAACGACTACAGAGAGTCAGGACCTCGGTTTAACGTCTCATCCGAAAGACAGCACTCACTGAGCAGTACAGTCCCCGTCACTATACTAGGGCATTAGGACCCACACAGACCGCAGGTTGGGCGCCCCCTGCTGGCTGAAAGTTTTGTTCTGTGTTTACCTCATGGTTAAAGTTGTTGCACGTCCGCCGGTTCCTGCCTCAAAATGAGCGAGTTTGAGTCACTTGTACATCCAGGAAGTGTTCAGAATAGCAAAACAAAAGCGAAGAAACTCGACACAGAGGAACATTTACACCTCACTGCCCACTAGCGTTTCGGAAGTGTTAATGCAGACCGACAGAGACAGCGCGCAGAAGTATAAATGCACAGCTGCGTGCGTTGCCTGCGCCGTGAGTTGCGCCGGTCACTTGACGCAGAAGTATAAACCAGGCTTAAGTGGGTAACCATGTGAGAGTTGCAGAGAGCTAGCTGCCGGCCTATACTTCAAGCGCATGCGTATGGTCCGGCGAAGCCTACGTGTGGTCACATAGCCCTCGCCGTGGCTGACTCAAAAAATTTAACTACCAGTAGCAACGACTCGTACTGCAAGCTTTGTGATTGGTCAGCTTGGTAATGGTGACAAGTGTGGGTGGTGCTGGGAGTCCGATACATTAAGTTAGCGTTTAGAAAAAAACAAAACATCCCCAAAGAAACTCGATACAGAGGAACATAACAACCCAGCAAGTGTGTCCGAAGTGTTATTGCAGAGCAACACAAACAGCATGCAGAAGTATAAATGCAGATCTACGCACAATGCATGAACTGTGTAAACCAGAAGTATAAAGCAGAAGTATAAACCAGCCTAAACAGCACGCAGAACTATAAATGCATGACGCGCAAGGCAGGCGCCATGGGTCAGGCTGATCACTCGATGCAGAAGTATAAATGAGCCTTTATACAGTAAACAATTTACAATACATAATACAAAATAGGTAGAATGTGACGTTTTACATATGAAATGCCATTTAATTTATTTCATGTCATATAATGTGCATGTTATGCTCTCGATAATTAAAGTGTTATCCTAAAATTGAGTAATGTGGGCCATATAACCTATGGCATAACAGTGTTATATAAAAGACAAAGCATTCAGGTGTTGCTGAACTGTCATGCGACTTGTGCCATTGTGGCAATTTCATAAGAACTGTCAAAAGGCATTTGGCTTTCATCTGAAGTGTGACAGACTTAAAAGAGAAAAGTAATGAAGTGGTTTTCATTATGGAGCCTCTCCGAAAATGTGATAATCTCGATAATATAATTGTATCTTTGGTTTTCCATTTCTTTTGCTTTTCCTTGGTCTTACGTTTGTTGATCCAACAGAATGCTTAACATAAAGTTGCATATGAATTCATAACATGAGCTGTTGGCTGAAAAAGATTGACTTGGGTTTAGACCAGGGGTGCCCAAACTTGGTTTGCAGGTGTCCTGCTAAGTTTAGTTCCAACCCCAATTAGACACGCCTGAACAAGCTCTGACTAAGGGTGCTTTCACACCTGCCTTTTTTAGTTTGGTTGAATCACACTACGAAAACGAATTCGTTTTCCCTCTTGATGCGGTTCGTTTGGGCAGGTGTGAATGCAGCAATCGTACTCGAGTGTGCACCAAAAGTGGACCAAAAAAGCGTACCGAGACCTGCTTGAAGAGGTGGTCTCGGTACACTTTCAAACGAACCCTGGAGCGGTTTGTTTAGGGTGAGAATATGATCTGAACTAAAACAAACCCCACCGCAAAAAAATACTTCGCCTTTTGGACTAATCCAGCTGCCGTAGGCCGATGTGCTGTGCATTGTGGGATGTGGAGGAAAATATTTGTTGA